CAGGATAGTTTCCTGAAAGCAACAATTCTCCAAAAGGTACAAATAATTAGCACTGTGACTTTCATTTTTAGTGTGTTAAATTACTGATTGCTGTTCTCACGTCTCCTCACTTGAATTTCCGAGGAAGAGCTAACCAAAGCAAATGGATCTAGAGCTAAGTCACTGATGATTCAGCGACATTATTGATTTTCTTTTGTATTACAGCACAACAAATTCCCACAGACTTAACTGCAAGAGGTCATATATTAGCTCAGAGCTCTGTGAGTCAGTAGTTTCTTTGCTCAGGTTCATACAAGAAGTCAAGGGGGTCTGCATTCCCTCTGAGACTCTCGGGGAAGAAACTGCTTCCAAGCTGATTCCAGTGAAGGGATAAATTCAGTGCTCCCAGTTGTAAGATTACATTGCTGGCTCTCAGCCATGGTCCTCTCAGCAACCACAAGCCACCTTCATTCCTTTCCACGTGGTCTCTAGAACATCCAAGCCAGCCTTAAAGTCACCCTTGTGTCAAATCCATCACCCTTTAAATCTCCAACTTCCCGTCTCTGACCTCTAGATCCAGATGGAAAGGGCTCATGCGATTAGGCCTGATTCAGCTGGATAATCTCATTGTCTGCAACTTTAACTACATCTTCCAATCTTCTCATCGTTGAATAAATTAACTAAGACAAGGTGGGTGGACACCAGAAGTCAGGAATTTGTGAGGCCATCTCACAATTCTGTCTACTACAATTATGAAGGTTTAAAATGTGCGTGCAAGAGTGTGTACATACATATTGGGTTCATATCTTGTGTAAATCTTCTGTGGCTTAATTTGATAAGTATTGCACCTCCAGTATCCCATTTTTTATCAAACGGTACTTCTGGTTCCCTGGTAGTCATTCAAACCAGTTTGATAAGTTCTGATTAAGTACCTAGTGTATGCCAGGCATGGCTCCAGCCTTCAAACACCCCCCTCAAGAACATGAAATCTGGTAAGAAGACACAGGTGCACTGGTTGCTCTGAAACATGGCAGATGGTTAAAGAGAGGGACAGCGGGAGCCCTGTCCCACTGAGAAATAAGAAAACTAGGGAAGAGACAGAATTGCATTTTCATCTTGAAGAACAGGTGTGACTGAAGTAAGCAGTAAGCCAGGGCAATCCAGGAGGAAGTGATCAAGCAATTTATGAGCAAGGACCCTGAAGAGCGAGCAGGGGCCCCACCCAGAGAAGAGCTAGTACATCCAGTTGAACAGAGGACAGTGAAAGAAGCAACGAGAAGGGTAAGCTGGTGTCAAGTGGCGGCACTTGAACCCAGGTTCAGAAGCAATGGAGAATGATGGAAGAACTCTCAGAGGAAGTAATAAAATTAGTATGCAGTGCAGAAATGTGAATTAGGGTGTGCCCTATAGGTTGGATTGAAGAGGGAAATCCTGAACACTTGTGATGGGAGGTGAGAAAGGAGGCTGGCTCTGCCAGTTGTCCATGTTACAAGTTAAGGCCTGTACTCAGGGGTGAACCAGAAGCCTAAGTTGGAAAGGCACACTGAGGTGGAAATGTGGGCTGAAGGGAAAGAGGGGCAGTTCCTAGTGACTTGGAGGTTTCATGCTTAGGACTGAAGAATGTTCCCTGGGTGCATTTTATTACCACATATATCAAGTGACTTTGTTTTGTGACTTAAGACATCACTGTACTTTGTGGCTGGAAGAGATCTGAAAGGTCTCAAAAAGAGGCATTTGAGAACCAGTCCGGTTAAATATAATCTCAAAGACACTCAACTGATTAATGGCAAGGAAGTCCAGGCATCTGCAATTCCCATCAGTCCACCCACTGGTTTCTTAATCATCGCCAAGCTCTTTCACAGTGACTTTGCAAAAGGTAAATAGCATAGCTCGTTGCTGAGCAAATTCAATAATGGGGATGTTGCTTGGCATGTGTGAACTGAAACAATTTCAGGACTCACTTGGATACTAGTTCTCTCCAAATTACTTTCTAAAATGTCAGTCTTCAAAACTTACGCAAAGGTAAGACCACAAGAGTTTTGTACAGTGACAAATGTGTGTTAGAACTAGCTTCCGCATTTCAACAAAACGAGAGTTTTCCAGTAGTTTAAATTCAAAGGTGTGAACTCTTTTCCAATGCTGATTCTTAAGTGGGCACTTCCAAAAGCCACAGGGATACATGTTTCCACAGCAAAATCCTTTCTGCTAACTTCATCAAAGTAAAATGTCTACAGCTGGCCTTTGGCCACTTGTTCCATATTTGCCAATTATACCAAACAGCAGCTGGAAGGTGTGGACACTAGAAGCTCTTCATTCTGTGTCTTTCCTAGTCACTCACACACCTGGATTCTTTTGATAAGAGCACCTTCCCTATGGGAATTCCATTCACACCCTTACAGCTTTAGGGCCTGGATCAGTGAGAAATCTCTGAGTGATGGAATGTGTGGTTTTCCTCATAGCCTTCGTTCAACTCCAAGAAAGGGAGCTTAGCCTATCTGCCATGGAAGATGACCACACACATCTTTGTTAAGGGAGGCCTTCACTTCTCTTGGTAAAGAACATAAGTCAGGCAGAGGAAGGTAAATTCTATGTAATCTTATATGTGGGATCTTAAAAAGCCCAAACTCACAGAAGTGGAGTGTAGAATAGTGGTGGCCAGTGGCTGGGGGTGGGGAAAGGTTGATCAGAGAGTGCAAAACTCCAGTTATAAGATAAGTAAGGTTTTGGGCATCTAAAGTGTCCATAGTTGACAATACTGGATTATATGCTTGAAAGTCACTAAACAAAGAGACCTTCAATATTTTCACATACACGCAAATATATGTGATGATTATGTGAAGAGAAACAGGTATTAACTAACTTTCTTTTGGTAATCATTTTGCAGTATGTGTGTGTGTGTGCGTGTGTGTGTCTCAAATCATCACACTATCTATCTTAAACAATATTACATGTCAAGTATATCTCAAAAAGTTGAAAGTGAAGGAAAAGGCAACTTATTCCCTGGCAATTTATGGGTCTTACTGATCCATAATCTAAGATGGCTGACAGTAAGGTAATACTGCCCAGTTGAAAAGTTAAGTCACCTACCCATGTTGAAGTTGATATAAGGAATGAAATTAGGGCTTAAAGAGACAAATGAAGGAAGCTTAATTCACTTCCTTAATTCACTCTCCCAAACATTTCCTGCTAAGTACCCTCTACTAACATGGTAACAAATCCTCCATTGTGAAATGCCAGCCCTTGGAATCTTCCTGGAAGTGAGGTTTTGTTGGCTCTTCCTCAAGCACCTCAGCCGACTGTTTTATGTTGCACTAAGAATAGGGACAGGATATTAGGGGTTAAACTAATACTGTGAACTGAGAGCAGAATTCCTCAGGATATTACTAGGACTCATAAATCATAAGAAAATGTCCAGATTCAAAGGTCATAAACTTGAAAGATTTCTGGAATTAGCTACAAACTAATGGAATCCTGGGACTCAAATTCCCTGGCTGGCAATTTACTGGTTTAAAGAATTACACTGCCAAGAAATCCCATGCCTGGCAAACAAGGCCTCGTGATTGCTCAATCCCTAAGGGGATTCCCTGCCTGGATAACTGCCCATGTGTGAGCAGAAGGTGTAGGCTGCACAGCAATAAGCGGAGCTCCTCCCACTGCACTTCTTAGGGAAGGCTCTAGAGGAAACAGACTTCAGGGAGTCCCCAAGCCATCAGGGAGACCCCAAGGCAGCTGGACTCACTAATCAAGTGACCTACTGTGTTGCCAGGCCAGGTCATGCTTGCTTGCTTCTCTTTCCAGCAGGATGTGGTCTTTGAGTCCCCAATGCACATTATTTTATCTTCCCTCCCTCTAAGTAAAAGTGCTCATTGTGGTTATCAGTTTTTCCCTTTCAGACTCTATGTGATGGCTTCAGAATGGTTAAAGTTGCCAGTTAGTCATAGATTGCTAAATGGATCCCATGAAGCACATCTGGATTTCATCTTCAGGAATCCTGGTCCTGGGGCTGATGCAGCAAGCTCTCTTTCACTAGGGCTCTAGTTTTGGTTATACAGACAATAATTCCCCTCTCCTAATTGTGGGGGATGGGGTGGAGTGGGGAAAGAAGGCTCTTAATAACTTCTAAAGCAGCCCAGTGCTAGAAGGTAGTAACTGGTAGCTCTTTGCTCTAGTCCACCAACATGTTTCCTGGTGTCCCTTTTCCTAATGAGAGCCATGTCTCCTCCATACAACCCTGGAGAGATTGTCCAACACAGTGATCAGCCCCCAACCAGCCACAGGAGAAAACCTAAAACTCAAGCCTGGTCAGTAGTATCCTGGCTCCTTTTAACAGTGATCCAGCCAATGGTCACTTAAACCAGGAGAAAAGACACTCTCTGAATAGGAAAACTTTCTGTTTGTGCTGAAATTGCTAAGCTGGAGTGACTGATGCCCCTCACTCCCTACCACATACCTATAAGAAAATAAGACCCAGGGCCCTCCCTGGTGGTGCAGTGGGTTAAAGCGCAACACTGCAAGCTGACCACAGCCACTTCAGTGCGAGTTCAATCTCCTGACCTGGAGCTGACCCACATGGCACAGCAGACCTCTGCTGTCTCGCCCCCTGCTCCCCTCAGCAGTGTGCTTCATCAATCTGCCTTTTCTGCTCCCCACTCTGGCTCTAGTGAATCCTCTTGCCACCCCTGCACCTCTGGCCTGTACCCCAATTCTAATGTATAAATAAATAAATCTTAAAAAAAAGAAAGAAAGAAAATAAGACCCAGGCACACTTAGAAATAGAGAAGACAAGAGATGGAGAGAAAGGCAGATTCCCACGTAAGGTGTCAAATCCAGATTCCAGTCCTAGGGATGCAGCTTTGTTCTGATTGCACAAGCTCCCTGCCCCTATCCTTTCCAGCTATGGTTTTGCTTCAACTAGTGTGAGATGGGTTTCTGTCACCGCAAATTAAAAGGAAATTTCATTAACATATACTTGGACCGAGGAGAAATAAGGACACCATTCTTAGGTAGAACATGGTTTTTACCTTTCACCTGAGCCCACAACGCACAGGAGCATCTTCTCACCTATAAAGGAACAAGCAACATACTTAACTAGGAAGCACGTGATATCAATTTCAATAATACATGGCAGCCCCCAAGTTTCACCGTTTCTTTCTTGGTTTAGACTACCAGGGCTTTAAAATCTCATCTATCACGACTGGATTAAAAAGATGTGGTACATATATACAATGGAATATTACTCAGCAATCAAAAAAACTCAAAAAAGATAAACTTTTGCAGCAACATGGATGGGGCTGGGAAGGATCATGCTTAGTGAAATAAGCCCGAAAGAAAAAGAAAAATACCGGATGGTTTCACTCATAGCAGGAGCTAAGGGACCAGGGGAAAAAAAAATAATAATAATGAAGAACTATATACCAGAGACATTTTATGGGGGTGGAGTGGGGAATGGGATCAAAAATGGGGGGAAGGGGCAGTGCACGGAACTATGGTGATGGCACACAGGTGAATTGGTGGTCGGAAGCCCACGGGGATTGCAACTGATATGGAAAAAAGCACAAAAAATGATAAGGTAAAAATAAACTATTATAATAAAAAGAAGTCTCATCTATCTTCTTACAACATAGCCCTGTGATCACTCAATGATCAAGAGACTGGCATGAGTAGAGGGACAGAGTGACCCTAGGGATCACCGCTGTGGCCCTCCAAGAGATCTCAGGAAACATGCACTGTGAATAAGCAACAGGAAGGCCATTAGGTTTCGTTCACAGCAATTGGTGGTGGTTGCCCAGAGAACAATGCTGAAAAGGGCCAGCACACCTGCCAGCTTGACAAATAGTGGTGCATGTTTGGGCAAGGCTGTGAGAAGTCCTGGTATTTAAAGGTACTTTGTCTTTCTAGAAGCTATTTACCTGCCACTTAGTTACCCAAAATGTAGCCAAGAACAAGGAGGGAAGTAAAAAGAGCATGAGTGAAAGCTGATCTGTGGGGCCTCCCTGGTGGTGCGGCACTGTGAAGCCACCACAGCCACTGCAGCACAAGTTCAATCCCCGGCCAGGGAGCTGACCCACATGGCACAGCAGGCCTCCCCTGTTTCACCTGCTGCTCCCCTCAGCAGTGTATTTCAGTACATCTGCCTGTTCTCCTCCCCTCTGCCTCTGATCAATACTCTTACCCCCAGTCCTCACCCTCTTACCCTTTGACCTGCTGCCCAGATCTTGTATGCATAAATAAGTAAATCTTTAAAAAAAAAAAAAAAAAGACTAGCTGATCTGCTGTAGAAGAGACCCACAAGCTCGCTGGGATGAAGGGCCTTCTCTCCGTGCACCCCACTGTCATGCGTATCTGTCTGAGGGCTGCTGAGATGACTGTCTATGGTGGAACTCAGCAAAGTATTCCCCAGAGGAAACTGAACATCAGGAGTCAAAGAAAGATCTTTCCAACTTCCTTAGGAGTTTCCTCTTCAAGTGAGAATCTTGAACATTTTTCTTTTTTATTTTATTAAACAATTGACAAAAATATGTATTTATGCTGAGAAAAAAATCTGGGGAAAGGCTTAAATGACCATGAGGTTAAATTATGACCTCAATGCTAAGTGCATCAAATGCATCTAGTAGAAGATAATATGCAAGAATGACACGTGAGGATTATGGTGATGGCACACAGGTGACTTGGTGATGGGAAACCCGTGGGGATTACAATTGAGATGGGAAAAAAAATGTACAAAATGATGTAAAATAAACTTTTGTAATAAAAAAAAAAGAGGTGAGGTGAAGAAGTCAGCTCATGAAAACTGAGTGCCTTGATCAGACTTGTGTTTGATGAAACTCATTTTTGCAATAGTACGGGTCAAGAAAATAAGTAGAATCAGAGACAGGGAGATGAGCTAGGAACTTGATCTTCAGACAAGAGATGAAAAAGCTAAACAGTGATGACGCAGGAGCGGGTAGGGTGATTTAGACAGCGCTAGGACCAGCGCGGTTTGATGATGGACTGGACATGAGGATAAGAAAAAGGGAGGAGACAGAATGATTCCTAGATCTCTGTCTCAACAAGGAGGGGCACAGTGAGAGGACAATGGGAGAACAGGAAAATTCACACTTCCTGATTTCACATTTTACTACAAAGCACCAGTAATGAAAACAGAGTGATACTGGCATAAAGACAGACATACAGACTAATGGAATAAAATAGAGATAAGTTATTGCATGTATGCAAGTGGTTTTTGACAAGGATACCAAGATCACTAGTGGGGAAAGGAAATCATTTCAACAAGTAGTGCTGATAAAATCAGACACTCACACACAAAATAATGAAGTGGGACCTTTACCTAATGCCACACAAAAAACAGTAGATCAAACCTAATAGAAACAAAAAAGAAAGAAAGAAGAACTTTGGGAAACTGGATTTGGCAATGATGTCTTTCTTTTTTACAGGTGCCCTGGCTTATAACACTATGTTCTAGGGGTTAGCTCCCCACCTCACTACATGTATGTCATCACAGCCTGCCCACCACCCATATTCCATAAAGGTTTGCCTTCCCTGTCTTTTATAAAGGCAATGTATTTTTATGCCATCACATGCTCTGTCCATCTCAAACACTTGGAAAACAAATATTCGAGCATCTAATGATTACATGTTAAATTCTATGAGAAAAAGAAAATATGGTGTTTACCAGGGCTTTTTTTATTATTATTATTAAAGAAACCTACCTTATTCCATTCACTGGTGATTCGTAATACAATGCAGTAGTCACTGCTTGCTTTCAAGGGCGCATTATAATATTTCCCGTAGTACAGCCTGTCTCCAATAGAGATCTCCAAGGCATCGTCTGTAACATGTTTGCCCAGTAGCTCTGCAGCCACATACCCATCAGCATCAGAGGTGTTGCTAAAAAATGAGGCAGCCTCTACAGATTCACAAGAAAATGTGCTTTGGAGGGCCAGGGGCAGCACCAACACCTGATACGAACTGGAAGAACAAAGAAAATGTCTATCAGACTCAGTCGCTCACTTTCATAATGTTTTTTCTCCTTTTTTTTCACGTTCATATTTATTAGACATCTGCTATGAGACAAACACCCTGCTAGACGCAGGGGATACCGCACTGGACAAGAAAAAAATCCTCCTCACATGCATGGAATTTAGGGTCTGAAGAATTCAGCATCATCAGTCTTAACAACATCCTTTTATTATTATTATTATTATTATAGTTTATTTTTACATCATTTTGTGCCTTTTCCATCTCAGTTGTAATCCCTTTGGGCTTCCCACCACCAATTCACTCATGTGTTTTAATATTCTTCAGGGAATAAATACCCAGAAGTGAGATAACTGATAATGGAACATATCTAT